TTTTTTTTTTTTTTTTTTTTTTTTTTTTTCTTTTCTTCCCTCCAAGACATGTTTTTTATGAGGCGTAGAATTTTTTTAATTTTTTCTGTTTTTTAATTAAAATTTATGTTCGATGCCATTTATTTTTTGAATTTATATTTTTTGTCTCACGATTTTAAGTAAATATTTGAATCATTAGTTAACTTCAAAAATATAAAAGCAATATTTTAAATTTTTTAAATTTTTTAATTTTTTTTGTCGACTGATTAACCCACCAGGAAAATATTAACTTATGAACGGACCCAATTTTGTTTTCAATTTTTTAAAAATTAACTCAACTCAAAACGAAAAAAATATAACCTAACCCAACCTAGTTTGGGTGGGTCGGGTTTCTCGAGTCATTCGAACACCACTACACATTTGTCCAATTTTGTAAATGTGATTATGCTCCTTTTTTTTCAACATGGTTGACACGCACAAATATAGAGATAAGCATTTATCCTTTTTTGGTCGTTCCTTCACTATGAGATGAGCACAATGGTGATTTTATTTTTGTCGTTCGAATCTCTCCATCATGACTTTTATCAAAACATTTAAGAAAGTTTCTCAAAAATGAGTTTTCACACGAATTCTAATTCTTTTAATTCAAACTTACTCGACGTATGCCTAACTCTTTGAAGATATACCCTTAAAGATGTGAACACTAATGATTGATGAAGACATTATGAAGGAAAATTGTGATATTGTGATGGTAACGGGAAATTATTTGAATAACTTTTGGAACTTCATATGATGTGTTAATTTGAACACGAATAACGAACATGAAGGTGATTAAAGGGACACAAAGTTTTCAAATTCATTTCACCAGTCCACGTCGTTCAAGACCAAATCGTTTTTTTAGTCTTTTATTCCAATCTTTACTTTATATTATTTCTATATCTAAAATTTAAAATTGTTTCGTCAATTTGAATATAGTTCAATAGATGAGACATCATTACCATCTCGTTGATCTCAGTTAAAATCTCAAACTAATAATTATATCAATTTAAATTAATGACATAAAATCTTATCTTTAAAATTATATCTCTAAAATATTAGATTATATTTTTGTTTATAAAATATTATCGAAATGATTTATCTTTTCTACTCTAGTTTACTCGTTTTTACTGCTTTTTATTTATTTCAAATTTACTCAAAATTTTTTGAAATTTATATTAGAAATTTTTAAATTTTAAATTTAATTTATAAACTTATTTTATAAAAAATCATAGATTTATTGGTAAATATTTTTAAAAATATATATTTGTAATTTAACTTCATTTTAAAATCTCTTTCCATATTTTACCTAGAGAAAAAAGAAAGTACAGGTGGAAGAGCGAGACAGGATGTGGAACACACTATGAAATACAAGTGACATCACATGATGACATCACTACCCCGACGTAATGACACGTGTCAATAAAGCAGAACCTTCCTAGCTGGCAGGTTGAATAGGCAGGAAGGTGAGTAGGAAAGAGCCAACATTGATTAACCAAGGGAAAAAAAATTAATTAATTAATTGTATTTTTAAAAAACTATATATAAAGTTCAATTTAAGTTTAAAAAATAAATAAAAAAATAAAATCAACAAGCAACTCTCTTGCACTTGCTCCCTCATTTTTCTCCTCTTCCAAGCATTTACTTTCATGGCTATGAATCCCCTTCAAAACCCTAGTTTCTTCCTCGACTACCATCAGTTTCAAGACTCGTCCTTCTCGTTCATGGATCTTTTCGAAGTCTCAAGTTACCCACTACCCGATTTTGGCCTCGAAGCCGAGACCACAGTGTCGTCGTTGATGGAGGCAAGAACGGGAGCAGAGAGGGGATCCACGGAAGCAACGTCCATAGACAATAATTGCAAGCAAGTGGAGAAAAGAAAAAAGGAGAGAGGAAGTGGGTGCAATAATAGGGTTGCATTTAGAACAAAGTCGGTATCGGATATCTTAGATGATGGCTTCAAATGGAGAAAGTATGGCAAAAAATCTGTCAAGAACACCTCTCATCCAAGGTAATTATTTATACGTTAATCTAATACATGTCAGCTGAGTGATGCTCAAATTGATCATTAGGAAATGATTTTAGTTCTCAGTTGTGTAACAATGAACGTATATTTTTAAATTTAAAATTTTGGTGCCCTAATTTGATAGGAATTACTACAAATGCTCAAGTGGAGGGTGTGGAGCGAAGAAGAGAGTAGAGAGAGACAGAGATGATTCAAGCTATGTTATAACAACATACGAAGGAATTCACAATCATGCATGCCCTTTTTTTGATATGGTGTAACGATCCTCTATATATATATATATAGAGTTAATAAATTAGAATAATCTCTCTATTTGCATGAGTTTATAGCATATTATTGGTTTAAAATATCATTTATGAATATATTAGCCCCAATAATCATGTTTAATAAGTCTACAGAATTTGGAAAGGCAGTAATCTTAACTCAAAACTCGATCTACGACTTCGCAATGAGTTATATTGCGGTCTGAAATTGAAATGTTTTTCTTAGGACAATATCGAAGGTTTTTTAAAGTCACTATGTTCACATCTATCGACTCAGCATCAAAACAAACTCACACTTCATGTAATTGGGTTTGAAGCTGTCAATATTATATTATATAGAGATGATAATTAATTTTTTTTTTTTAAAAAAAGGGTCATAAAAGGGTAAGGAATTGTTAGTAGAAAGAATACTCGAGAAAATCCCCAATGAAAAATTTTAATTTTTATTATGAGATAAATATTAAATTTATAATTTTTATTAGATTGTTTGTTAAAAACATAAAGATTAAGGAATCCTCAAGAGAAAAAACGACATGAACATGAAACATTAAAAGAATCAAGAGTTGGTGGGCGATGACGTGGAAGAGACAGCTAAAAGGAAAAATATGGTTGGTCAAAAACAGGAATAATCGTTGACTTCAACGAGTCCAATTAGGCGTACCAATTAAATATTTTTCTCTTAATTAATTCCAATTAGCAGCTTGTCGTCTCTGTCCCAGATTGATAAACTACTGTTTTATCAATAAAAAAATTTGTAATGAGCAAATTATGATCCCGTGCCGCCTCACGTTTCCTTACAGTTTAATCTTCCTCAATGATTATACAATTTCACTATTCAGCTCGTTTAAAATCAACCCATTCAGCTGAATTTTCTGTCCGGGGCAAAGAAATTTCATGGGGTTTTCATAACTTTGATTAATATTTTCGATTTCGTTGATTTCTCTATCTGGGTATTTATTTATTTTTTTCAAATCCGTAAGAGAAATCCGAGCTTCGAAAATGGTGGGTGCCCGCTTTGGTCCGTGGAATTTGATTTTAAACCATCATGGAAGAAGGTTTGGCAATGGAAATCGCGAGAGATTGGACAAGAAGGGGCAGCCGGCGTGTATAATAGTCGATGGCGGCGGTACACGGTGGCTCGACGGCAGCTATGTAGGGTCTGACGAACTGAGACGCCATTTGGTTGCCATTCATTGTGAAGATTCAGGTATGAGCGATCATGATGAAGCTTGTGAATGAATATCAATACTGGCTGTTCTGATTTTCTGTTATCTATTATGTTCTTCAGAATATGATCCAAAGTTCAAAAAAGGGTTTCCTGTGATCAAATCAGTGAGTTATAAGCTGTTTGTTTGTTTGTTTATTGGAAGCGCAGTAGAATCATTTGGTGTTTTTTTATTAGTTGATTGATTGATTGATTGAGTGCATGCGTTCCAGAATGAACTTGTGGGTTCAGATTCAGGGGAAACTTTAGCCAAGAGGCTAGCCAAGCAGAGATCTATGGCTGTGGTGCTAGAATTTGACCCCACAGGTCCACTCGGGTAGGTTGAGCTAACTTAACCAGGTGCATCAAGATGGTTTGGAATTTGGCTAACTCTTTGGAAATTATCATCCAGGAATTGGGTTTCACTTGCCAAATGGTTTGCCAATCAGCTACCTGCTACTAGCATTGTGCTTGCTGTTCATAAGGGGAAGACCATATTTAAAGGACACTCAACAGCTGATCAGTTTAGAGGTTTGTCGTGGAAGCTTGTCTTCTTGGAAAAACTGCTTAAATGTTTGCTGATGTTCGTAAATTTTCAGGTTTTCAGCCACAGTTGAGGCCTGAGTTCTATTTCAACGAGGTTGTTTATGCAAAGGAAGTAAAGGGAGATAGTGATGAGCTCCTTGCAGTTGTTGCTTCCGATGATCGGGACGAAGAAACAGACTTGAGAAGTGGCAATGTGAATGGTCAGAATACGAAAGCTCTTCTGAGTTCGATATCCGTTGTTCGAAGACAGCTTCCCGAATCAAATCTTGGTTGGCCTCTACGACGGAGAAGTTGTCAAGGAGGTCATGAGGTTATAAGAAAAAGAGCTAGAAATGTTTCTGTGGTTCAATGGGTTATGAGCCTGCCTAATAGATCAGGTGCTGCAGCGTTACCAAAAGACCAGAATGAATGGATGGAAGAAACCAGTCCTCTGATGCTTCGAAACGTTGGAGACGACAGTAACGAAGTCGAACACAACGAGAGAATGCCCCTTTCAGTCTCTTTATTTGTGAATGAACTTCAACAAGAGACACCTGGTTGGCCCCTTAGACCTGTAGCTCTTTCGGAACGATCAGATTCATCGCAAGAAGCCGAGTCCGAGACAAGCATGTCTAACCAAACAACTGATACAATCGACACAAATTTGGAGTCCCAGGTTGGTTATGTACCTAAGCAGCTGAAGCTTCCCATCACGACGAATCGATCGGGTTGCAAGTGCTTCAGCTATGCCGAGCTAAGGACGGCGACTTCCGATTTCTCAGCAGGTTGGTCAGTTTCAATCAGCAACCTTTTATGATTTATATGGTAAAGTTCTGTTCCTGAGCATTGTATTGAATAATGAAACAGAAAATCTCATAGGAGAGGGAGGATATAGCAGCGTATACAAAGGATGTCTTCTCAATGGCACGTCTGTTGTGGTAAAAGTTCTGAAGTCGAACAACGACGCTCGGGACAACTTTTTGATGGAATTAGACATCGTTTCCTCGATCAAACACGAACACATCGCACCTCTTATCGGTGTATGCATGGAAAGCGAGCATCTTATTTCAGTATATGACTACTTTCCTGAAGGGAGTTTGGACGAAAATTTACACGGTGAGTTTCGACGCCTGGAATCTGTTTTTCGTCGTCTTTGAGATTGCATTGAACTTATTATAATTGTGTGGATGGTTGTGTAAGGCAGGCCAAAAGGGAAGAGGTAAATTTCAATGGGAAATGAGATTCAAAGTAGCTATTGCTGTTGCTGAGGCACTAAACTACCTTCACAATGAGTGTTCTTCGCCTGTTGTTCACAGAGATATTAAATCTTCCAACATTCTTGTTTCTGAGAAGTTTCAACCCCAGGTTCATACCAAGTTTATGCATCAACTTACAGGCCATTTCAATGGCATTATATTTCGTAGAAGTTAATGTTGTTGTGTTCGTTGCAGCTATCCGATTTCGGGCTTGCTATGAGGGGACCAACGGATTCGTCGTATGTAGTGAACACCGATGTGGTTGGGACGTTCGGATACATTGCTCCGGAATATCTCATGCATGGAAAGGTCAGCGACAAAATCGACGTTTATGCCTTCGGCGTCGTTCTTCTTGAACTTCTGTCAGGTAGACGTCCCATTGATCGTTTTGGTGTTGGTGAAGGGCAAGGAAGCTTAGTCCTGTGGGTAAGAACTTGGTCTTTTTTTGGGTTGACAAACAATTTCTGCGCCTGCACTCATAAAAATGCTACTCACAGGCGAAGGAAGTGTTGAACAGTGAGGATCCAAAGGTATTAATGGATCCAGAGCTGGATGTAGAGTTCAATGATGATGAGGTTCAAAGAGTGGTTATGGCTGCTAAGCTTTGCATTGATCTATCAGCTCGGTTACGTCCGAATGTGAGCGAGGTACGAAAATCATCATCTTTGTTGTTCAGATTCTGTAAAGTTCATATATGTTCTTATCTTGCTTGCTGCTTTTCAATTTGTTTTCATTTGCAAGAACTCATTGGCTTTGCTTACAAAACTTTGGTGTTTATGGTGAGAACTTATTGTCTTTGCTTTATATGACTTAGTTTATGAAAAGTACAGACATTTTTTTTAGGACGGTTTTTTCAAGTTGCTTTCCCTTTGGAGATATTGTCCTATTTGGACCTTTCCTTTCAGGCCTCCCCTCAAGGTTTTTAAAACAACGTCGGTTAGGGTAGGGAGAGGTTTCCGCACCCTTATAAGCAATACTTCATTCCCCTCTCCAACTGACGTAGGATCTTACAATCCACCCATTTGGGGGCCAACGCCCTCGCTGGCACACCACTCGTGTCTAACTCTAATAACATTTGTAATAGCCGAGCCCAAGCCCTTTGCTAGTAGATATTATCCATTTTCGCTGGCACACCACCTGTGTATAGCTTTGATACCATTTGTAATAATCCAGCCCAAACCCTCTACTAGTAGATGTTATCCATTTTGGCCCATTAATCAGCGCTATCAACCTCATAGTTTTTTACGGTTCTTTGATAGAATTTAAGTGTATATGCCCGACCTTATAATTTGAACAAATTTCACTAATATTATATTGTTTTATGAATATATGAAATTTAGATATTTGTGTTAAAATTAATAAATTTTAGTTTATCCATTAAATAAATTTTTAATTCAGTCTTTATTGTTAGTTGTTGATTTTTTCTGCTTCCATAAAAACAATGTATATATATATTGCATGAAAATTATTATAAAATTGGATAATAATTTAACATTAACATTTCCTGTATAAAAAAAACAAAAAGTTATATATTAAATAGTTAAGATAATGTAAAGTATTAATTCTAAACGAATTAGTTAAAATTTAATAAATCTAAACAATATATTTATATTTATTAATTCAGATATTGAAGGTATTAAAAGGGGAGGCACGTGTTGATGATGGCTCATCGAAGGAGCTAAACCATCATGATGTTGATGATATCTTCCCCAAGTTTATGACCAAACCGAGCCTAAGTTTTGCACTCCGTGACATAGACTACGACGGTACATCATCGACTCAAACGACGACTTCAAATATCATCCCGCCTCGTCGTCAGAAGTTAAAAGAATATCTGAAAGAACCTCATGAAATTTAGGTACCATTGTGTAAATACCTGAAATTTGCCCAATAAAATGTCTTGATTTTTTTTTTTTTTTTTTTTTTGTTTAATCTTAATCTCGAATCGATTATTAGGGTTCTTGAATCGCGATCTCCATCTTAAACCTAAAAGAAACTGTGAAAGGACAATAATCGAATCATAATATATCCGCTATTTCCATCTCAAATCTAAAAGAAACTCCTAAAGAATCAAAAGAATCAGAATTGAAAAGGAAAAAAGAGAGGAAGAAACTCACGAAGACGCAGAGGAAGACGGACACATCTCTTCAAAAATTGGTAATCTCCTAAAATTCTTCGAAGAATAAAGAACGCGATCGATTTTCGAATCGATTTCGTCGACATTATCAGCCAATGACTTGTTCGAAGAAGAAATTTGCACTATATGATCCATCAATGGCGACCACATCGTGAACTTGTTACCTGTTTCACCAGGGTTAACGACGATCGGAATTCTTTTTTGAGAATTGATCAGCGTGTCGTCGCTGTTGTTCTCCATACCGGCGTTTCTGGTGGTCGAAGCCTCGTTCGGACGGTTTTAGCAACAGAATCGGCGACGGCGACGGCGGAGGCGGAGGCGGAGGCGGGCTATGGTGCCGGTTTTTGTATTTTAAGTTAGGAAAGAAATTGTTTACCAAAAATTAAGAGAGTTGAGATCGTGAAATTGGCATTTTTAACACTCTATTTATTTATTTTATTTTTATTTTTTGGCCAATCAAATTCGTTGAAATCGAGGTAAGTCAGGATCCTGTTTTGGCGGCAAATATTGTTGTTTTGACAATTGTTTATATATATATATATATATATATATTAATTGTTATTTAAGGTTAATAAATTGATTTTTTTTTAAAATTAATGGATTTTCTTCTTCTATCTCTTGTCTCACATTTTCAGAAATAAAATAAAATTAAAAAAAAAAATTTGAAAATCGAAGGGAGAAAGATATGAAATTAAAACTCCTCTTCAGAAAATTGGAATTTTATATTTAAAAATTGATTTAAAAAAAATAAATAATAAAAAATGAATAAAAGGGAGGGAAACCCTAAACCCTGTCATCATCTTCTTCCGGTCATTTCCTACTCTCTTTCAGCAGCTCAGCGTCCTCGCCGTGGCCTCTCTCCGGTTCTGTGCCGCCGTTGCCGTGTTTTTCCGCTCGTGCCACCGCATCATCCGTCTCTTAGAGAGTTTGAGCTGATTTTCTACTCTCTTGCTGTTTCCGGTATTCTCCTAATCTTCATCCTTTTCTTTCTCCTCACTTGATAAACATAAATTTGGATTTGTCGAACGAAAAAATGGAGGATAGGTTTTTCTAGCCGAATATAATTGAAAAACATAAGTATTCTTTCGATTTCTTGCATAAGTCTGATCATCTGTTTATCTCTTTAATCGCTGCTGAAATTGGCTTGTTTATGCGACCAAGAACTTTCCAGCATCTCTCTTCTTCTTTATTTATCAGCGAATCAGTCGTATAATTTAGATATAGTATAGATAGATTGTGTGTATATGTTAGTTGGTTTTTCTTTCTTGTTTTGTTCCCATTTTCCCGTCTTGTTTCTGAATTTGGCTCTTTCTTGCATGCGAAATGTCAAGATTTCTCGTTTGGGTTGTTGTTTGATTACTAAATGGCTGGATTTGTTCGAGCGAGTTAAGCTACTAGCAGACGAGTGTTCTTGTTTAAATTGTTGTTTGGTTGCGAAATGACTAATACTCGTATGTTACAGGTAACAGCAAGAATGATGTTTTCGTTTCTCTTTATATATAACTTACTGCTCCCCGGTCTTTCTGTCTTAAATTTGATCTGAGAACTATGAGAACTATCAATTTTTCAATACTCTTGGCGAAGAAGTATGCCCCTTGTTGTCTTGGTTTGTCTTTCTCATGGGATGAGATCCTTGTAATTTTGTTCCTTGAATTCGTTAACCAACTCCCGACCAGAACTTTTTAAGGTTGTAGATGAGTTTAGTCAGAAAATTGGTAGGATTATCCTATATTATTGTAACGGGCACAAGCCCACCCCTAGCAATATATTATAGATGATTAATATTGGTTGAATGCGTGATTGACCAAGTCTCTGTTCACCCTATTTTGTTCTGTTGGTGCAGCATCAAGGGAGAAGAGAGCTGATGGTGGAAGTATGGTGGTCGATATTGGGGGCAGCTATTCCAGCAGTAGTTGCAGGACAAGCATACAGAATGAGGAGGAGGCATTCTGAGGAGCAGAAAGTAAAGACTGCTAGGGGAAGGGAGAAGAATCCAGATGACATTTTTGTCTGTGAGAGGGTCTGCACATCAAAGAGAATGTTGAAAAAGGTAGGCTCATTCTCGAAAGACCCAATTCCCGATACTTGCGTGACTGTATGTGGATTATCTGAACTCGATGCCTGCACGGATGCATGTGCTCGCACTGTCTGTGTGAACCAGCATCAAGTACCAAACTGGAACGACATTTGTCTTAGGAGATGCCAGAGTGAATGTCTTAAGCTTTCTGCTTCACATTCATCTTAGTGAATATGGCATGATGTGTGTAAATAATGCGGTCTTTCCATGCATACCCTGTATTGCATTTTGAGTTGTGAAACATTGGCCTATAACTGTTGGCTTTCTGGAAGATGTTATGAAATGTTTTTCTCAATTTACCAAGTTCCTCTTGTTATAATACAGTGTTGCTTCTTTAATAGTGACTTTCCCTCTGAGCCACTGCTTTCTTGCATTCATTATTGGATTTGTTTCATTTATTGACTTTCATTTCTTCAAACGAAGATAGAATCAGATATCTTAATAGATACTCTCCTGAACATTCCTCAAAGATTTCATTGATAAATAGAAAAGCAAATGGACTTCATCCATTCATGCTGCGGTAGTGACTAGAGTAAGGCACAAAATGATCCTTCTCTGTCACAAGAAGCCTATTTATCATATCGTTTTCTGGTTAAGATCTCTATCACAATCTAAATCATAAAGCTTCGAATGCAAATTTCTGATCGAAAAGAAAAGGAAGAGATAGAAAGTTGTTGAGAAGTGGAAGATCTCCTTCGACAGAGAGGGATGATCAAAGCTCAAAGCTCAAAGCTCATCATGAGAATGTTTGTCCTTGTCCTTGTCCTTGTCCTTGTCAACCAGGTTCTCTTTCACCTTGTCCACTGCTTCCTCCATCACTTTTGCTGCAGATCTAGCAGATTCCGAAACTGCATCTTTGCTTGCTCCAAAGCTCTTCTCCACTGCTTCTTTCACTTCATCAACCACACCCTTTGCTTCATCACTACTCCTAAAACTGAAACACACAATCAGAGCTATATAGGATCATGTAGAATATATATATATATATAGCGGATTTGAGCGCTCTATAGCCGAAATTAACATGTTAGGAATGAAGGGAAGAAAGTTACTCTAAATTAGGAGGGAAAAACTGCAACTGCATTTGGTGAATGAGACATTTGACCTTGTCCCATGGAGAGGGATGGGATTTCTTCAAAATAGCGACAGTTTCTTGAATGAAGTTCCCAAAAGAGGGCCTCTCGGGAGCCTTGTTGGGTTCTGCAAAGCATGAAGCAACATGAAGCATCAAAATGAAGAACAGAAGAAGCAATCTGCTTCGAGTTTTTGGGTTGAAGATTTCCATGGCGTTTTCAAAAAAGGCTTCTCATTCAAACACAGACTGCCATTTGTATTCTATTTCTGACATTCCATTACGCAGACAGTTTCCTTCACTTCCTTAACTTTAGCCTTTCTTTTCTTCCTTAAATTTAGCCTTTACTTCTAACCATTCAAATCCCTCTTTTGTGGTTTCAAATTTAACCCAACAAATTTTGAACCATTCAAATCACATTTTTTGGTTTCAAATTTAACAAAAACTTTTTTTTTTCTTATTATTAATAAAAGTATTTTTGAACTTAAAAAAAAAAAAAAAAGTTTTAAGGTTATTTTTGAAGTTTTTTTTAGAGAAGGTTTTAAGAAAATTAATCAACTTTTGAAAAGATATTTTTTAAAACCATTTTGAAATTTTTTTAGGAAGTTTAAGAATATTTTAAAAACAATATAATAACGTTTTCATTTAAAAATAACAATATTTTTTATTTTTATTTTATTTTTTTTTAAAGTTTTAAGAGTTATCAATTTTCCCAATAAAATGTTCATTCATGGTTCTAAAATCTATTTTATATATAATTTTAAGCACAAACCCCAAAAAAAAATTGATGAACAAAATGTATAGTTGGGCCTTTTATGGCCCAAAAATATAAAAACAAAATTTTAAAATCTTTTTTACTGGGTTTAGATTTTGAAGATTCAGCTAATTATTATTAATTTCCGAAATCAAATGTTACTCAGAAAACCAATTTTCATTGAGAATAAACATTAAAAATAAATACAAATATTAAAAACAATAAAATAAAAAAAAAGTTAAATGATTATAACTAAATTTTGCTAAATTAGGTTAAAATTATAATTTTTTTTTGTTAACACAAAAACCTCCCCCCACAAACTTTCAACTCTTAGTCGACATTAATAGCTGAGTCGAATCAATGCATAATAATTTCAAGCTGCAAAGTTTGTTCGAAAAGTTATTTATCAAACACTTTTTAGACTCAATTCAATTATTTGAATTAATTATAAATTTATTTAAAGGGTTGTTTTTAATAAAATTAATATATTTATTTATTTATTTTTAAATATTTAATTAAGGTTTGTATTTCAATTTCAATATATATTTTAAAAAACTATCCTCTAAATAATTTAAAATTATCTTTTAAGAGTGACCCAAGAATAAATAATTAAAATATATATATATATCATCTAACGTATGTTAGGCAAAAATGGTAAATAATAGTATAGAGATTTTGGCGAATTATTAAATCATAGAATAATTAGTTATTAGGAGTTAGTTTAATATTAAATATGTATTCAATTGAAAAAGACGCCAATTAATAAGCTATGATTTTCAAGTGAAACTCAAAATACGAAATGTATCCAACTCATTTACTACCCCTAAAAATAGGGTCTGCACGTTCATTTCAAAGTTTTCAATATTTCGTAACGTTATGTAAATTAGGAAAATGTTGTTGTCACGTTTAGCATAAATGCGCAACAAAATATTGATAAAATGTCGATATCTTAATTATAAAAATAATAAATTTAAATTAACAAGTAAACTTTTTATATTTTTAAGTAAGTTTAAAATGGGTCCATTTGCATTTGTAGAGGTCGGGTGTAGAAGAGTGTCACATATTCTTATTCAAATTAAAAAGTAGAATTCAAGACATAAAATGTTTTTACGATGTGAAGTTACTAATTGAATATTTTTTAAATATTCAAGCTACGTGCTAATATTTATTTTAATTACTAATTGTTTATAAAAATGTTTTAAATAAACTTTTTCTATCGTAATAATAACTTTTTAATTTATATTTGGGTTGTTGTATGTTTGGGGAAAATAAATAATGCATTACGGCTATTTATTGTATTTTAATGAACTCTGGTAACCTGTCACTCATCATTTATGTATTTATGTATAGCTTATTAATGATAACATTTTTATTTTTTTTTTAATTATTTTTCTTGAGGATAATAATGATAATATTTCGATTTTTCAATCTAATATTTTAAATTTCCCGATTTTATTTTTAATATTTTAAGGAGAAATTATTAAAATTGTAAAGGACAGTTTTAAGTAATCTTTAAGAGGCAGCATACAATTTTTTAAGTCAATTTTGTACAATTAGTAATAAAGTAAACTAAAAAAAAAGGAAATATTGTATTTTGCAAAAAAAAAAAAAAAAAAAAAAAAAAAAAAAAAAAAAAAAAAAAAAAAAAAAAA